CCCAAGAATTATTAGTCCTTGCTTACAGAAAGTTCTTGGTGGTTAGGCCACAAAACAGCAAGGAAGTCAGCATGTATTAACTACTGATTTCAATCGAGTGAACAATTCTTTACTGGATTTGTTACTGCCTCATCTTTAAACTCAACCTCAAGCAAACCTTCACGCTTTCAATAAACGTTTGTCCTTTCAGCTTGCCTGTAACAAAAGAACAAAGGCAATTTCTCCCATTACCCTTACAAAACAGCAATCCCCGACAGTTTTTAAAACTTTGTTTAAACTGCTTATGCTTTATTCAGTCAAGGTTTGAAGTAACATAGAACTTTTCCTTCTTTAAAAAGTTTTTATTTAATATCCTTTCATGTTGACTGTCAGTTGTTAAACGTCAAAATCATAAACGAAAAATTAAATATACATTAAGTACCTGGAGGTAGTGGTGTTTTCTTTTGAATCAAAACTACAGCAACTTTTGTGTTTCTTCCTTGCAAACTCTGCCTGCAAGAATAATGCATAATACCAAACAAGATGAAGTTTACTAAAACATTACATAACTTAACAAGCTAATCAATTAGGCAATGTGTTTTTTTTTAAAAAACAAATATTGGAATCATGACTTCTTCCTCCAGGTACAAGGTTGTATCAAGCAGTTACCATAGAAAAGTGAAAAACGGAGGACCCTTTAGCAGAAAGCATACCTGACAATTTCAACTCTAGTAGCACACTCTGACTGTTTTTCTTTCCACTGTGGCTCATCCCAATCCAGCTCATAAAACACGACAACAAGTGCAGGCACCAAATTCAGATGTTTGTTCATCCAGCCAGTCTTCAAGATCCCTTTTGGAATATGCCATTCATACGATGTTCTCTACAATCATTGACAAATGAGGTAACCAGTTCAGTCTGTTCTTGAATATTCCTTGCTCTGTCTTTCCGAATCATGGCTACTCCCTTTGACTTTTCTATCACAACCAGGAACGAGCAATCTAAGCCCATGCAAGAGGCAGAGAGTATCACTGAACTCAGCTGAGGATGCCTGACGCCATGTCTGTCCTGCATCCCAGTTCTTCTTAAGGGTGCACGATTCTCACAAAGGTGTCGAACTCACTGAAAATGTGTTATTTAAAATTTTAAAACATCTTTAATTGTGTATGTCTGTGTCATTTATAAAGTTCATCTCTCTGCTACCTGACATTACCTTTTATGACACACATGGCCCGGCCCAACAAGGTCTCATTTTTGTCAGATCCAGCCCTCATAACAAATGAGTTCGACACCCTCTAACACAAGAATCTAATGGCCTCAAGATCATGACCTGGAGCAACTTTGCTGAGGAAAGTTTCCAACCCTTGAATTAACTTAGTTTTTGAAGACACATTTCAACACTTGGTTTTGGAAGTTAAGTCCAATGTTTAAATAACCTTCAAGTGGAAAACTGATTAATCAAACCCTTTAAACAATGAACACAACAAGCAATGGATTGGATCCAGCCAGCTTTTTCACTGTCTCACCCAATTCCCTTCCTTAATACAGCCATCTTGTATGGCTTCTGTACATGCAGGTTCCATGACTCACACACCATAGCCTCTCTGGTGGTCAAAGGAGACCCCATCTTCCCTTTGTTAACAGTGGGAAAGCTGGTTAGATCCAACCAAATAAGTAATTTCCATTCACAGGGCCATCCTACATGCAGCTACACCCTTCTAAACCCATTTAATATGATGGATTTAGAAGGGTGCAACACTTTTTCAGTTGGCACGGGAATGTTATATTTCTTACAACCACAACATAACCTTTGAGCATCTTAAAAAGACTTAAAACAATACCTTATTTCTACATTTAGGATACTCATGATCACCAGGGAGTACTTTAAAGGAAATTGGTACTCGGTCAGCTCTCCTGTTTGCACAAAAGGCATCCCAAACTGCCCGATGAACAGCATTGTAGATCACATCCAAGCCTGTGAGGGCTACAAAGGCCATAGGCCGGCAACACAATTCCACTGGAAAGTCCCACTGAGAAGGGCTCATCTTGACAGACTGCAACAAACTCTGAAAACATTAAATATTTGAAATAGTTTTCCAACAAATAGTTCATTTTTTAAAATATAGTAAGTTGAAACCCATCTTGAATATAAGGTTGACAGTACAAGCTTCCACCATCTCTGAAGGAGTGTGATGGAAAGAATCACAACCAGTGGGGTATACTTGTCTACAGAACTGTTAAAAGGATACTTGAGCCCACTAATTCTTTTGAAACACAGCTTTGTTTCAGGGAAGGGGGTGAATTCATATAAGCAGAAGTCATCATTCCATTCAGGGCTATTTTTGGGCAGGAACCCACAGGAACGGAGTTCCGGCTGGCTCCCAAGTTGGCCACACCCAGCAGGAACTCTTTAGCATAATAGGCCACACCCAACAGCAGAAACTCATTAGGATTGGCTACATTAGGGGGGGGGTGTCTAACATGCAAAGGAGTTCCTGCTACAAAAAAAGGCCCTGGGTTTTGACAACAAACAAGGTAAACAGAATAAGAAGCAAAAGGTGGGTGTGGCTGGATGACCACACTTCTGGTAACATGGGAATGCGGCCTAATAGGCTAATGAGCGGTGCAGTCAGGGGTGTGGCCTAATATGCTAATGAGTTTTACTGCTGGGTGTGGCCTATTATGCTTCCTGCTGGACTTTTTCTACAAAAAAAGCCCTGCCACTCCTACATCAAGCCACCCAAGTACACAGTGAGGCTGCAAACTGGAGCTGCCAGCTCCTTGTCAAAAGATGAGCCCATTGCCAGGAGACGACCAGTATTCTACAGTACCACATTGGTTACCCCCAACCCACTAGTCATCTTTTAAATGATTCACTTCACAGGCGTTATCTACACCTGACAGGCAACCTGCTTTGGCAAACGTGCTACAAACCGAAATGTTTTCCAAGGGAGGAAGGTGTACAACCACGGAACAGACACCGCAACACTTCCCCGTGTCCTTTCATGTGGCCATGCCTCTCTCATCTATACAGAGCAGTGCAGTCCAAAGAGCCAAGTGCGGCTCTATACAGGAGAAGAACTTCACCCTAAAGAGTCAAAAGTTGTTTCTCAAAACAGCGGCGCCCCATGATAAACAACAAATTTTGGACTCGCAGTTTATGTCACGACACTACCGACGACTACTACAGACCCAACTAAGATCCTGAGAATGGTGCCCGAGCAAAACTGGACTCCCTGGGCGCGGCAGCCACGCCGAGGCTTGCCCCCGTGAAGCCCAGAGCGCACTTTCACCTGAAGCGCCGACCTTGGAGTCCCTTCACACGACCCCCAAGCAGGGTTTGGGATCTGGGGCTCAGAACGTGACTGTCAGCCCTTCCCCGCGAAAGCACCTCTGCGCTGCCTGCTCTTCCACTGTCGCCTGAGCTGCAAATGCCCTCGAGAGCAGGGGAGAAGAGGGGGCAGCTCGGCGGCGGCGGCGGGCAGCCCGCTCAGCTTCCAGGGCCGCAGCCGCCCATGCCAAGTCCAAACGAACCACAGCGAAGGGAAGAAGCGGCAGCCACAGAACTCTCACCAAGGCCTGGCCTGACTAAGGAGGCCTAAGGGAAGTGTCAGCGCGCCGGCTACCAATCAGTTCCGAGTCTGCGCTACCGATGAAGCTGGAAGGCGGGGCAGACGAAGAGGGCCCCGCAAAGTTGAACACAGAGGCCAATGGGAGCGTGAAGAAACGAGGAGGCGGGACTAGGCAAGCATCGCGTTGGGAAAGCCTAAGAATGTCCGGCGTGGGGGGCGGGCGGTGAAGACAAAATGAGGGCCAATAGGAAGCCGACAGGAGAGGAACGAGTGGTGGGGGCTCTGTCCAATAGGAGGTGGGGACGGGCGCGTAGCGTGGCCCTGTCACTTTTGGCGCCTGCGCTCAGAGTCAGCGGCGCGAGGGTCTGTCTTGGTGCCGCCGCTGCGATTCCTTCCTCAGAGGGTGGCGGGAGGGCGGCAGCAGGAGGGGGGGCTTCTTTTGTGCCGGTTACGCGCCATGACGGCGAACGAGGACCAGGAGGTGAGAGGCTCCCAGGCGCGCAGGCTGGGCTGAAGTGAAAGGAGCGGCATGCCGGCTGCCGAAAAAATGAAGAGGTTTTCGAAGAGGGTGGCCGTAGGGAGGGATTCGGGGGCGGCCTTCCGATATTATCTAGGCATAAGACTGTTCCAGAAAGATTGTGGGTCTGTATGGACAAAGCTGTCATTTTTGGGGGTGCTGCTGTATGCTAGGCTGAAATTCAGAAGTTGGGGTCTGCCAGTGCATGCAGGATGACCATGTGCTTCACCTGTTGAATTTCTGCTGGTCTTGTAGCTCCTACAAGCACAACCTGTCAATGGGCGAAAGAAAGAAAAGGGAGTGCTATTAATAGTGATAAAGTCAATATAAATCATACATTTCAATTGCGTTTTAGTCAGAGACAGATTATGCTGGGATAAAAACTTATTAAATCTTTTAAGGTGTCCCAAGATTTTTTGTTAATTTTTCGATACTGCAGACTAAACTACTTCCTAAGGCATCTGCGTCTGTAAGAATTAAAGATACATCTAGGATAGTACCACAGATGATGATGAGGCTCAGTATTATGGTGCTGAGTGAACACAGTCTAGGCTAATTTTACTGATTTTTTAAAAGATCTTTCATAAGACTATTAGAGTATTGTGAAGACAACAGCATGGATATTATAACTTTTTAATGTAGGAGATGGCTCTAAAATTACATATTTGATACATGCTAAGTTATAGCAAGGAGAGAACATTGAACTGGGGTCATAATTTCTATTGTGTCTGTTCCCAAGAAGAGGAGCCTCATCTGGTTCCTAAAGGGGAGGGATGCTTTTATAGTTTGTTCACTTTACTTTGAATGTGCCCTAAAGGACAACACTAGATGGTGAAGGGGGCTTAAAGGGTCTTTGGACTTCTGTTTCTTAGAATGGCTATACTCCATGTTGCATAGTAAGTTACTTTTGAAATGGGAAGGGTGTAGGACTCTGGCACCATGGCATAGCATAGGAGCATATGCTTTTTAAAAGTTGTAAAAGGTAACTGTGATCTGTTATGGAGAGAAGCAAGTATATATCAGTGGCAGCTTTAGATGAGTATATGTGTACAATAAAGACCTAGTATGAGTTAGAGTGAAAATGATACGCCTTAGCATAACTGGATTTTTAAATGCATCTTTGAAAAAAAGAAGCAATGTTATGGTTCAACCTAGGGCCTTTAAAATCAATGCCATTGACTGCAGCAGGATGTGGATTACTTCTCTAATTGAAAACAACCAGTACGTCGTTTGTATTATTCATCATTTCACATCTAATGCACTACATCTCTGGTCACTTTCTTTGATTATATACAATATTCTCTATCTATAGATTTTCCAATACCTTAAATATGAGCTTGAAAAAGAGGAAACCAATACACATGAACAGTGAAATGGATGGTGCAAAATATCAGCTGTACAATAGGTGAAAATAAGAGACTGTCATTACTGTTCTTTCTGTTATATTTATGGCAGTTTCCTGGCCTTAAAAGAGGGTATGGTTTCACAGTTAAGATTAAAAATATTAACCGCTTTATTGTTCTTTCTTTCAGATGGAGCTAGAAGCATTACGTTCTATTTATGAAGGCGATGAGTGTTTTAAGGAACTTAGCCCTGTTTCCTTTCAATATAGGGTGAGATTGCATGAAGCCCTGTTCACAAAAGAATAATGTAAATTGACTTGAAATATAAGGTCTTGATTTTTACTAAGAAGTATGTATGGTTTAATTAAGGGTATTTTTCAGTGTATTTCTATACGATAACAAGATTTGTAATGATCAAAGTATTAGGGGGAAAGGTCATCATAACTTTGAGAGATCTATAGCAACTGTAAACTGATGAGTAGAAGTACAGACATGAGTTTGGCTCTGCTATTACAGTAGTTGTGTCCAAAGAAAACTATTGTAAGTAGGAGGAGCTAATAAATTTCTTTAGCAGAGAAGTTGCTTCTGTTGCCAGTGTGCTGGCCCTGGTATTAGCAAATATGGTTTATAAGGGCCTGGGCAGATGTTCGTTTCTGAACTTGGTAATTTCTGATCCAGCACAGTACAATTCATCTGTACATGTGGATATAGAGCAAGCTTGGAGTGATCCTGGGTTATTGTGCCATATTGCTTTTTCTAACAGAGATAAGGGTACAAGAGTCTCTGTGAACTTGAGAACTTCATCAAATCTCTTAATTGGTTCAGAAATTAGTCTTACTGGGTCTTCAGTATGTTGTTCTAATACAACTGTGTAAATATTGAGTACATGAAAAGTGTGTTTAAGTTTAGGCCTTGATTCTCAAAATTTTTGAAACTGGCTACTTCTGTTTTCATAGAACTGGGTGTGAAATATGCCAGGTGGGTCCTAGAGGTATATTCTTTTTGTGTGTGTGTGAGTATTTTGTGTCTGTGTGTGTGCATGCGAGCATGGAAGTCATTGTGACTTCTGGCAATCCCTAGTTTCAGAGAGGCGGCTTGATATTACCTCCCTCTGCACCCCAGTCCTGGTATTCCTTGGAGGTCGCCCTTCCAAGTATTACCAGGGTTGGCCCTGCTTAGCTGCCGAGATCTTTACTAATGATGTACCCAGAATTAAGCAACCACATTTTAAAAACAGTCTCCAGGTACAAAACCTTTCAGTATTTGTTCTATTGGTAACAAAAAGCTATTGAGATTCCTGTACAATCATGATTATTAAATATTCTTCAGATAGGTGATAATGGAGATCCTAAAGCCTTCTTAATAGAAATATCGTGGCCAGAAGCATACCCACAGACAGCTCCAGCCATATCTATGGATGCGTTCTTTAACAATGCCATGTAAGTATTCCAGTATTTCATAGATGATATTCTTTCTGACTAACACTGTTTTCCACGTCATCCTATAAGGGAGTTCTGTGATCTTTCCTAGATCTTCAGGTGTAAAACAAAGTATATTGAATAAATTAATGAAAGAAGTTGAAGTTAACCTTGGAACCTCGATGACCTATACAATTTTTGAATATGCCAAAGATAACAGAGAGTTGTTAATGGAAAATCAACCTGTTAATACTGTGGTAAGCTTATAGCTTTGTTCAATCTGTCTCAAAATGTTAAATAGCGTATTGATCTCTGGTTAGAATAGTTTGTCCACTTCATTCAGAAGCATTTTGAAACTTAGATCAGCGATGAACAGTAATTAAAATACTACTTAGCCATATATGTAAGGTGTTAACAAGCATGTCAGAGTAGCACAAATGAGTTTATCCAGTAAGCTATTACTCAGTAAATGGAGGGTTTCCAAAGCACATATCACTGAGAATGGTTTGATTGAAGATCTAAAGGAGAATAAGGCCACACAAGCAACATGCCAACAAGCCAAATAAGGAAAAGAGATGCCAGGTGATAACTTTATTATTATGCAAAACCCCTATGTGTTTCATTGTAAAAGCTGTGTCAGGACATCTATAAAAATATAATTTATATTAGGGACGGATAATAGAAGGACACTACAATAAACTTTATATTGTCTTTTTAATTCAGAAGTAATTTTAATAATGTATAATGATTTTTATTGTAGGGTCCTTCTATTATTTGCCTCTGATGTAAATTTTTTTTACCTGGCATCACTTTTCCTTATTTGGCTTGATTGAACCTCTGGAGCAATTAGATCTTTACTTATCTGAAGAAAAGGGAAAACGAAGAAAAGAAATTCATTTAAGTGCAAATAAATGACAGTATGAACCTGCTAGCAATTACTTTTTTTAGACAGCATTAAACAACTGCACCTCAGCTGGACATCCTGATACAGCCCAACCAAATAAGAAAAAAGAGAAAAAGGAACAATTGTCCAAAACACAAAAACGGAAGCTAGCAGACAAAACAGGTTTGTATAATACCCATCATGTTTTCTTTCAGATTTTTAAGTAAAATGTATTTCAGTCTTTCAAGTCTTAAATAACTTGCAGATAGACTTTAAATTGAAAATGAGCAGCTTCTGGTTGCTGTTTTGTCTTGGATAGATCACAAAGGAGAACTGCCACGAGGATGGAATTGGGTTGATGTAATCAAGGTAACAGGACTGAGAGTTAAATGTGTTTGAACCTTCCAACATCTGATGACTTTGACAGTATCTAATCTTTCTCTTTCTCTCTCTTTTCCTTTTCCCCTTCTGATCCTTTGTAATCATTCTGGGCATGAACAACATTTGGATTCACTTCTTGTATTTGACTAGCACGTAAGTATTTCAGTCTTTCTGAAATGTTTTTGTGCCAATGTTGAAAGATTTTTGATTCCAAGCAAGGATATTTGGACACTCATTATTTTTTCTTTTTTAAAAAAGGCATCTTACATCCTGTTCCAAAACATTTTTCCTTTAAACAGATCCTATTGATTTAAGTTAAGTATACGCTCAAATGAGCTTAAATTCACAAGCAGTGATCACCAAACCAGCCTACCCCCCACTGCACTGACTTTCAAGGAGAGTGCCTATTAGAGCTATTTTGAACTAAATCTGCCAGCCCTGCGCCCTGAATTCATAAATCTATATAGTTTTGACACTGGACAAAGTGGCTTCTATAATCATGTCCCTTAAGAGTGTCCAACACAGTCCTCACTTTCCTGTGGACAGAGCAGTAAGGAGAAGTTGGCATGAGCCTGCTTTGGCGGGGAGGGTAGGGTATAAATTTGAATAAATAAATAAAATAATTGGCATATGGAATAGAGAACAATATGAGTTTGGGGCGGGGAGAAATCTGTTTTCATTTTTAATCAGTGATTTTTGTGACAACCCAAATAGCTGCAGTACAAGTAATTTGTCAAGTTATCAGTATCACCAATACCCCTTTTTAAATACATATTCTAAGTATATAAAGTAAAGGTAAAGGTTCCCTTGCTCGAAAGCCAGTCGAATCCGACTCTAGGGTTGCGGTGCTCATCTCTGTTTCAAAGCCAAAGAGCCAGCGCTGTCCGAAGACGTTTCCGTGGTCATGTGGCCGGCATGACTAAACACCAAGGCTCACGGAACGCTGTTACCTTCCCACCGAAGTGGTACCTATTTATCTACTTGCAATTTCTTGCTTTCGAACTGCTAGGTTGGCAGGAGCTGGAACTAGAGATGGGAGCTCACTCCGTCATGCGGCAACTCTTGAACTGCTGAACTACTGACCTTCCACAGCCTGCAGTTCAGCGTCTTAACCACTTGAACCACCACATATATAAAGAGGTGTCCAAAAATATATGGCTGCACCTCTAAATTTTATCTGTACATATCTTACATGGGAACAGCAAAGACCATTGTTCAGCTAAAGAGGACAGTCCTGTTAACCACTGTGTGGCAAATGCTTGTTTCGGATGGGATACATCATGGTTATTAGTATTGTGAGCCAATTCAGGACGTAACTTTGAGGTAGTATATGGTGGCAATCACAACCATTGCTGGCTGCAGCCTCACAAACCTATCGTGCAACACAGAACCAGGCTGAATAATAGTGTAATGTAAGCAAGGCTGAGGGGCTGGGGCTCAACTAAATTGTGAATCATTTACAATTGTTCAGTCATTGCAGAACTGATGTTTGTGCCTAATATGTAATGACTGAGTGGAAAATCAGAAATAGACTAGCAAAGCATAGGATGCTAATACGGACATGCTGGTGCAAGCCACTGTCTGATGCCAAACCTGTGTAGATCTATAAAAGCTTGATGCAGGGCTCACTCTTTCTGCTGAGTCTATTAGAAGCTAAATATATTCAAAGTATTAACAAACCTTGTTGTTATTCAATG